AAGGTGAGTGGGGAGCTAACCGGTGCCAGCACGGCTGCGGGTGCTGGCAGTGCCGCTTCAGAGCCCTTCCTACAGCACGTGCAATGCAGATTATGCTGAAAATGGAACTTTTTTCCTCTTAGAACAGTCTTTTAGCCCATTCCGCATGAAAGGTTTTGGAGAGACATTGCCAGCGTGTGGGACATAAGTGATTTCATACTTCTTATTAAGTAATAAATTTTCTATGTGTATTACAGCAATTCATAGGACTGCGCTAACTTACCTGTCTTGGGTTTGAGTCTGTGCCAGTCATACGCAAACAAAATGGCTGTACGTAGGCCGGGGAGTGACAGAAAGAGCGCTTGAAGGGCTATAACGGTATTTAAGAGCAGTGCAGAGGCTGACCTTTTTCCTCTTCAATCTTCCCTCTGTCATTTCTATAGGGAGATACTCCAAGAAATTCAGCGTCTCAGGCTGGAACATGAACAAGCCTCTCAACCCACCCCTGAGAAAGCCCAGCAGAACCCAACTTTATTGGCTGAGCTCCGGCTTCTACGGTAAAAGAAATACCTAAAGCTCGTGTGCGTTCGGTACCTGGGCCCGTCAGCCCGCAGGGTCTGCTCCGTGGCACAGACAGCACTGGCTGTTCCTGGGAAAGGGTAATATTGGCATATCTTCAATGACCTCAAAGGGTTATTTAAAATGCTGACTGCTGAAGACTGACAGCATATTGCAATTTGCCTTTTTTTAAGTGGATTCAGAAGTAAATAAAAATGTCTCTTAAAATGAATTCTATTTGTATAGTTCAGATAGGGAGAACTAGCAGAAGTGGCATTAACTGCTTATCATTTATTGTCCAAAGGAGTGGAGTTGAAGGTAAATGTCAGCTATTTGATTAGTCAGTGAAATTCCGAAAGTTCATACCTACAGATAGTCAGACATACATCCAAAGTTGGAGAACAATCTTCAAAGCCTCTTTGATTAAGTTTGCATTTTGAAGTGACAGGGGAAAATTGTCAGTATTTATAGAATAAAGTGTTTCATAGTTTGGGTAGTCACAGGGGCATTCTCTGGCTGTATTTTATTTCATCTGCTATTACTAGTTAATTCAGAGCTCAACCTTCAAAAATGCCATCTGTAATCGAAAGTAGATTCTGAAATTTAAGCTCTTGGCAGCAGCAGCTCTTTGCAAACTGCGTTGTGTTTCATTTGTTGGGGTAAACTTTTCCTGCCCGCTTGGGAAATGGGACGGTTGTTGTGCTTCCCAGGAATGTTTAAAGGTTTTCCATAAAGTGCAGTGCTCTTGGAATGGAGCTACTGCAACTGCAGGCAGCGTCTGCAAGGTATAATCCAGCCCCATATTGCAAAATCTAAGGCTTGGAACTTCTTTCATTACTTTTTCATACAGAATTTGCCTCATTAGAGTACATTTTGGTATCTCACTGACATTTTTCTTTCTATTACCTAATGATAATAGCTCATAGATTTTCTAGCTTTATGCTTTACATGGCTATGTATATTTTTTAAAATGTTTAAAAAACTGGAGAGGATGCAGAAGATACCCACAAATGTTATGCAAGAGGTGGAGAAAAAAGAGATTGCGGGGCAACGTGATGTGCTGTTTGACCCAGCAGAGAAAGATACAAGAACCAAGAGCTTAAACTGGAAACCAGCCACATTCAGACCACAAATAAAGCACATGCTTTTTAAAGCGAGGCAAGGATGTCAAGAGCAGTGATAGAGTTTTCAGTCCCTAGATGTCTTCCCTGAAAATGTTTTTCCAAAAATACAGGCTGTTGGGAACAAACAGGAGGAATTAGACGGCCTGTATTTTGCTAAAGAAAAAAGGCTGAATGATCATTGCAGCCATTTCTGGCCTTCAGATATGTAAATGCCACTGGCAAGTAGAAGAGTTACAAAAGGAAAAAAAGGTTGAATTAAGCATGTAAAGCCTGTCAAGTCATCATGATTGTCCAGTCTGGCCTTCTGTGTAACACAGGCTGGGACATCTCTGCCTGCAGAACTCTTCTTGACGGGGCTACAGCACCCATGTAAGACAGACGGTCAAGCTTTCATTTTAGACGGAGAGAATGCCACGTCCCCCGATACCGCTAATGTGATCGTCAGTTAATTTCTGCGCCTTGTCTGTGCTCAGTGGACTAAAAGTGTGTACATTATTTCTAGCCTTCATAAGCCTAGTGCTATTTTCCAGACCTGGTCTTTCCCTGTGCTTTTGTCTACTGGGCTAAAAAGGTCTTTTTCAAAATTCCTCTTTGTGAATATTTAGAGATTTTGATTCCCTCCCCTCTTAACCTCATCTTGCATAAATAGCTTGAACTTCTTCAGTTTCTCCATAAAGCAGGTTTGCCAAATCTCCAGCTATGCCTTTAGCTTGCTGTCAAGTTCTCTCTAAGTCCTCTGCATCTCTTCTATATATATGCTGGAGTATACTGGCTGCAGTATCTCATACGTCGTCTCGCTGGTGCTATAGATAGAGCTATGTTAGCTTTCTTACCACCAAACATCACTCTCATTAATAAATGCAAAGTGCACATTCATTTTCTTGACTGCATAGCATCACACTGGAAGTTCACAATTAGCAGGTTATCTGTGGTGTGAAAGTACTTGACAACGTCACAGCTAACGAGGAGACATTCCCCAGCCTGCGAGAGCAGCATGTGATGACCTTGCCTTTGAATATATGTAGGCACACGTTGCCAAATGATCTCAGTTGCTGTGTAGAATTTAGGCTGTGAAAGAATGAGAAAGATAATCCATGGCAAATCAACGTGTCCCAGGTTTAAAAATCTGCGGGTGACCCAGCCCGCAGAGATGAGTCAGCTCTGCCACGCTGCTGGCAAATGTAACCTTGGAAGAAGCTCGGCCGGATCCCTCATCCTCACAGACCCCCGCCTTGTAATGCAGATGTGCTTGGCTGCTTCTGCTTGCGAGTCCACAGGGTGCTCATTCATAGCCAGGTGCCAAGGGCCCGTTCGCCCCAGGCGCGTGCCTCAGACTGCATCTCTCCCTTTGTTCCCAGAGGCTGTCGCAGCTTTTTCTTTTTTTAAACATTTAACACCCTTTGTCATTGTCAAACGGTACCTCCTCTTTCTTCACTGGAGGTCATTGAAAAGGAAATTGAGTAACATCAGCCAAAATCAGACATACACATTGATGTTGATTCTTCATTAACGACTGCATACGGAGAGCTATACTTATTTAGTCGATTTTTACGTTATTTGTAGTTGTTAACCAGAACATTATATTAAATAACTATAGAATAAAAGCGACAGACTTTGCACTGACCTAGAGAAAGAAAAAGGACTGTATAGACAGATAAAGCTATGTCTATGGCAGGTTTTTAACACATTCTAGGTGACCAGGCACGTGTAGTCTTCTCTTTATTGCCTTATTTTTGTGATATGTTTCAGCATTTAATAACCACATTCTTCAAAATACAAAAAGGTGTTGGAAGAAATACCCAGGATAGTTAACACTTCACAGTCTTCTCTCCTCTTAAGAACCAGTATAGAAACAAGTTAATTCTGTAACGTAGCCTAGCAGTTTTCTGGTTGGGCTGTATGCTTATGGTATGCCATTCTCACAGTCACCGTAATGAAAGCAAGTCATACTCAACAGATTTATTCAGTCTAAGTAAATGGCCTGTTTCTTTTCCTGATTCTGATGTCCAACTGGTGTTTCTAAAACCAGTTGGTTATTAAAATTCCCAGAATTACTTATCCGTAGTATATCATGTGAGAATATAGATATCATCTAAGACATTTAAAAATTCAGTCTATCATATGTGGTGCCTTTAACTTTGGATTAAGACATTATGATGTCCACAAAAATAACTGTAGATGAATAAATAAGCCTTTCTAATCTGTTTTTTTCTTACAGTTATTTATCATTACCTGTGATTAGGATTTGTGGGGCCCAGCATTTCTTAAACCATATAAGATACTGAACTTCTGACGTGTTGGCGTTCGTCTTTGAATTTCTCCTTATATTAGTCACTTCTTTATTTTTTTAAATATAAAATAAAACGAAACTGTCATATTTCCTTAAATACCTCACAGATAGGCATCTGTAGAAATACGGTGGGTTTCTGATGCCAAGGAAAGGGAAGGTCACTTCTTATCTCCTTTTCTTGTTACCTGGGTTCTGGTACAGCAAATATGTCCAAGATTATACATCACATTGGTGGACAGAAATAGCTCTGCCGAGTCTCCGTCCAGACAGGTGATAGCTTTTCCTTTCCAAACATCTGCAGCCTTTTCTCCTCTTTTTTTTTTCTCTGTCTTTCCTCCCATAGTTCATTCTTGCTTGTCTGAAAGCTCTGCAGGACGCCTGGGTCTGACGTTAAGAGAGTTCTTAAAAGGAAGAAAAAAGCAGACTTTTTTTCTCAAAATGCGGTGCTCTTGAAAAGGGCTTCCTACTACCAAGGTGCTGAGTGCAGATTTCTGGATTTTAAGTGAAAAGCCTGATTGTTATATATAGGTTTCATGGTCATTGTACTGTGCTTTGCTCTGTGTTTTTAAATTGGAAGCAGGGGGGAGTGATGAAAACCAAAGACACAGTTATATGGGTGAATTTGCTGAAGTAATTTTGAAATACCCAAAGTTTATTTTCTGAGTCTTTCTTTCATGTAACTTGAACAGACAGAGAAAGGATGAATTGGAGCAGAGAATGTCTGCACTTCAAGAAAGCAGAAGAGAACTGATGGTGCAGCTGGAAGGGCTGATGAAACTGCTCAAAGTAAGCCATCTCCTGTCAGAAATGCAGTGCATCCTTCTCTTCCCCAGGTCTGGAATTCACTGTTGCTGCTCTGAGCTTCCTGCTTCGCTGTCGTACCATTATAAATACTTCATGAGGAATAGAAGGAATTTGCAAAAAGTCATTTCCGTACTGGGTCTGTGTGTTGCTGCAGATAGTTAATGGGTTTTTGGGTTCATATGCTGCTGCTTTGGTTAAAAAATCAAGAACTCGAAAGATTTGGGAAGCTTTAAAGAAGTATTAGATTTGGTCATCAACTGCATGCTGTTCTGGGTACCAATTCAGTTCTTCCAACTTTAACTGGAAAATAAACTGGAAGCTGTAGTTCCTGCAAAACAACTCCCCAGGGCATGGCGCTGTGTTTCACGGGTAATGTGACACTAACCCCGCTATGTCTGTGGAGTTCTTTTGCTTCAGAGTATGATGGTGGTGGCTCTGATCTATAATATGTGTTGGATGAGGGTCCTTTATTATTTTTTATAGAGTTGAGCTCATAGTTGATGACTATAGTCTGAAATACTATTATGCGTTTATTCTTTCTGTTCCTTACTTTGGACGAGAGCCTCTCTGTAAAGTGAATGGCAAAACATTGTCCTTACTCAAAGAGGTTTTGATCTGAGACAAGGTGCAACAAAGATACTAGAGGCAGTGGAAGAAGTGGGAGAGAGATCGCAGCAATGACACTGACAGGAGCAGCGCAGGGGATTATAGATTAGCTATAGGCGCATCTTGAGAGTTCCAGAAAAATTTAGAGCTTGTCTGCGCTTGCGAGTGACAATGAATTCACATCGTCTGTAAACCAAAAGTGCAGTCCCTCTTCAGATTAGGCTTGCATTCTGGAACAGGAGTGTGTATACAAGAGGCTATGATCAAATACTCTTCAGAGGTGCCTGTTTTATTTCGTTTCCCTGTGCAGATGAGCACATAGTTAGTATTAATATTTGGGAAGAAATTTTTTTTTTTAAGTCAGTGGTTCTGCACACTGTTATTTTTTTCCTGTTCAGCCTGTTAATGTCTGTCTTCTAAAAATTTGAAGACAATCACTTGCTACATTCGCCTTGATTTCTTCAGACCCTCAATCTTTCTAAGTTGACGTGTGATATCTCTGAAAATGGGCACCCAAAACCGAATCACAGATTTAGGAAAGTATAAAAAGTTGTTGCATCAGAAACAGTTTGATTCTTCGTGGTTCAGACGACCACAGTCTGAGCATTTTTCTTGCACACATTTGAGGAGCCTCTTTATAACAAAATCAGCTGGGACATCTGCTTTAACACGGTGACAAGCTCTGATGTGAGTTTTCTGTAGACCCTATCATTTTCAAAGCACCCGTAAGCCTTCACAAATTAATTCTCCCAAACACAACCTGATGTAGAAGCTACCATCTCCTTAGGGTGAACGGCTGTTCTGTCGGCTGGCCTGATGTTCTGCTCTTCCACCCCGAAGGCCTTGAAGGCCGGGGGGACTGTCTTCCTCAGGTGCACTGCTCCGAACCCGCACGACGTGCAACCTGCAGAGCTTGGCCCGCCGCTGGGCAAGGTGCCCCTCCTGCCTGCTGGGCCATCACGCTCTCGTCTCCCAACCCCCAAACAGTGTGTGTTCCCTCTTGCGCGACTGGCTGGAGACGTGAACGTGGCGTTGTGCGGAGCAGCAGAGGATATCGGGGTCACTAACACACCGAGGCGGGGAGCACGGGGGGACTGCAGGGTATTGCGGAGGGAGGAGAGCACGAGCACGAGGGCAGGTGCTGGAACTGGGAGACGCGGGTGGGAGGAGAGAGGATTGCAGAAGAGGGGAGGGAACCGTAACTGGCTCACATTTGATAAACTGATGTTTTTAGGACCCATTCATTAAGGTGAATCATGCAGTTCAATTATGAGCTTGACAGAAACTTTCATGACATCTTGTAGGCTGTGTTATACAGAAGGTTAGTTTAGAAGCTGGCTCTTACTAGACTTCTCATTTATAAATCTAGTATCTTTTAATTAACTCCCCCAATTCCCAAAATTGTTTAAAAACTGTAAGAGCAAATCGGACTGGCTATAAGGAGAAACTTCTTCCCCAGGAGGACGCTCAAGCAGTGGAGCGGGGGCCCAGAGGGGTTGTGCTGTCTCCATCCTTGGAGGTTTTCAAGACCCAACTGGATAGGGCTCTAGGCAACCTGTCTGAGATTAACTTGACTCTGTTCTGAGGAGGCGGCTGGACGTGAGACCGCCTGAGGTCCCTTCCAACCTGAATTATCCTTTGAGCCTGTGATTGTTGTCATTATTTGGTTCTACATGTTGCATAATACGGGTCTTTGCATTTCCCCTTCTTAGCTTTTATGGAGCCTGGCAGCTTCTCTTTGATTAAAGCGTCTTCCAGAAAGACATCTGTTCTTGAACAGAAGAAATAAAAAATGGAAAATTCACTGCCAATGCAAATTTGCTTGCACAGTTAAAAATGTATGCCTCGTTTTCAGTTTTAATGTATTTAGCTTCAGTTTACACCCATTGGCTTTGGTACATGTGGTTCTCCCTCCATTAAATTAAGGAGTACTTTAGCACCCCTGGTTTTTTCCTACGCAGATACTTACTCATCTCAGTGAAGGCACTTCTCCGTCTTCTTTTTCAAATCAATTAAACAGGTAGAGCTTCTCTGAGCTTCTCACAATACTGTACTTCAGTATTTTTTATGGTTGATTTCTTTGCCTTCTCCAGATTTTTAATATCATTTATTAGATTGGGAAAAAACAAACTGTATGTTGAATTCTCTGAATTTTAGCAACATAATGCAGAGAGTTACAGGAGGAGTTTCATTACTCTTCATCGCTGTTTTCCTTTTTGTGCCTTTCTGCACCGGTGAGTGCTTTTTGAAAGCTGTCAGTTATCCAGATCTTACTCCGTGTAAAGTGTTTTATTTATTTTGTATAGTGCTAGCTGGTTAATGACAATGTATTACAAGTTTGGCCTCTGAAGGAACTGCAGATATGAAAATATATTACATCTGTGCAGTTCCTTTAGAAGCCAAACTTGTAATACATTCAAATAACAAAATCAGATTTGTTTGGCAAGACCTCTTTTCCATGAAGTTATAATGCTTCGTATATTACTTATTAGTTGAGTCTTGTATGAGCATTTCTGTTACTTTGAATAAATTAATGACAGGGTAGGATGTTTATGCTTATTTAAGTTGTCTTGCCTCCCGTTTTGAGTATCAGTGCAACACAGCACATTCCAGTCCTGGGTATTCTGAGATCTATGAAAAATTGCCTTCACTGGACCAGATAACTCCTCATGTAATTATTTTAAGAATCCCAGCTGCAAGCTACCCAGGCCTGCTGATCTAAAAATATTCTTTCTAGTAGATACTTTTTAACACCTTTTCTCATTATTAGTGGAAAGCACTTCACTGTTTGCTGATAGAAACTACAAGGGGAAAGTACTCTTAGTCAAACACAGAACAGAAATACTAATTCCTCTTCCCATGTTAAGAGTTTTACCGTGACTATCAAGAAGCAGTATACACCCCCTCAAGGCTTTGTTTTGGTTCTGATATTTGTGTTCATTTCAAAGTCTCCTTTTTGGTGGTTTTAGCCCTGCCGGACACGAATTTTTCCCGCAAGGTTTTAGCTTCTCTCATCATTTGGTGCACTTCAAAAATTTTCATTTATAATTTACATCAGCTGTTAAGCTTTTATGGTTTTTTCCATTTTCTTATGCAGTATTTTTTACATTTTTAATGCTGCCTTCATTTCACCATTTAGAGCTGGATTCGGCTTACCTAACTTCGGTTATCTGAAAGTTTGGTACCTCAGCTCCCTCTGTAAAAAAGGAGAGAGAGGAAAGCCTGTGTTTGGAAGGACTTAGTTGTTCTCCGGAGGTTCATCCGCTTTTCCCATGGCGAGCCATGCTGTGATAGTTGGCCTCTGAGCAGAGAAAGGCCCTCGACTATTTTGGTTGCTAGCGCAGAGGTGCTTAGTGTCCTGCTCTGATGTTTATTAGCCCGCACAGTGACCTATCCATGCCGTTGCAATTAAGAGTTAAGGCTGGTTTTTGCAGCGAGTGTCCTTCCACACCTCGTGGCCGACGTGTGTCGACAGTCCCGTTAGCAGGTTTCAGTAACAGGAGTTTGTTGGTGGTTTTCCCCGAAGGAGAAGTTCTGGGTTCAGCTCTTCACCAGGTGCTGCACTGGTACCTTCTGCTGTCGTCCCACGCGCTTGTGCGACCCGGCTGTGCCTGTCCGGCTGAGCTCGCTAGTGCCAGACAGCGTTCCTTGGACAGCACCCACCCGCCGGCGCTGCCGGAGGACTGGTCGCTGACATGCCGTAGGATCAGAGCTACCAGCGCTTTCCCAAACCATCTCCAACCACCACCCAGAGGTTACCAGGTGCCCGCACCCATTCCCGGGGGGCAGTTTGGATAAGGCCACCCCGATGGGGGTGATAAGGGATTTTAACAGCATGGACATGTGCAGATCATGCCAGAGAACGGGCCCTTGCACAACGTCTGTAGCCTCCGTCCTGCAGGGCTGCTGCAGTGGCCACCGCAGGGCTCCCGTTGGCTGCTAATCCCACGTCCTCCTGGCCGCTCCAGCCGCTCCAGTTCAGCAGATCAAGCCCCTCGCACGCTCGCCTGGGCTGACCGGTGGGCAGTCACCCGCCAGTGCTGCCGCCAGCGGCTTTCTTCCAACGTTTTTTATCTTCTTTTCCTCACCCAGGCCGTTGGCTTAGCTTTCCCTTTTTTCCTGAAGTCTTCCGTAACACACCTAGCGCCATGAGCTGGCACTCTTCTAATAAGTAGTCGGCAGTGATGATGGTCTGCCTTCTTGCAGGGCTTTTGCTTTCGGCTACGCGGATATTCAGCAGACGTATCCCATTTCACTTTTTCCATTTCCTCAATGGTAATTTCCTCACTAGCCGATTTGGTGATTTATCTAATGACTGCTCGGTCCTTCTAGCAAAGCTCCACACCTCCTGAGATTTTTTTCACATCTGTACTTAA